AACCATCTGCCCATCATATGGAATAAAGTTTCTCGGGGGCCTTGGTGTAGACTTGGTGCCACATGATTCATTGCAGAGTGTGCTAGAGTCAGCAGGCTTCTTCTGCTCTGCTAAGTACAACTTCAAAGAATACAATTCTACATAAACTTTGAAATACTATCTAATTTATAAAAGTCAATAAAAGGTTTTGGTAAAACTTTTTCATGCAAGATGCTGTTTACAACAATGAACATGCCAATAAAACATTTGTTCATGTTGCTGTGTTATCTTAATCATTAACCTTGGGGGACAACAATGAATTTGGGTACAGGATAGATTTGTCATCTTTAAATACAGCACTTTGTTACCTGTACGGAATAAGTATCTTATTCTGTGATGAAGTATATTTATAGTGAAGTTGTCAGATCAAAAGATGTATTTAACTTCCTGGATATTTCAGAATCAGATTTTTACCTTTTTTTTTTCTCTTTAAGAAATAATGAGAATATTAGCAAATGTTGACTCTTTGGTTTGAGTATAATTAACAATTCTGTCTAAAAGTCTCTTGGATCTGGTCCAGGCCTTCTTACTAGGGACCTGGGTATCAATCCTCCCCAGGACTGGCTTCCTGGAAAGCAGTAGAAGCCAGCTTGCCAGCAGAGTGGACTTGGTTGCCTTGGCTCTAGTCTAGCATAGTGTCCCTCCACGACTGGCAGAATTCTTCCCATTTGTTGCTCCTTCTTGTGCCTTCTGTTCTGGGTCTGTTGCTGCTGTGTGAGTCATTGCAAGCATATTGCACGCAGAAAGAATAGAGGAAATGCTTCATAGAAAAGGAAGTTTAAGAGCTCACTTCTCAGTGCATGGGAGTAAGTGAAAGCAAGGAGCAAGGACATTTTCACAGTGTAGTCAGAAATAGGATGCCGCTGCTACTGCGGTTCAGCCCCTCTGAGCTTCCAAGAAGTAGTGGACTCTGAAGCCTGCAGTAGCCTGTCTCCTGAGCCTGAGGCAGGCCACTAGGTATTGAGTTGTGACCCTTCTCTAGGGATCACAGAAGTTTTGAAGGGCTTTTATGCAGGTCAGATGAATTTGTGTTAGCCAGGTGCAGACTTTTAGAACCACGTAGCTGTATTTCTGAGGCCCTGGCTAAGGTGAAGGGCATTCTAGTCAAGGATCCACAGCTCTGATTTCACTGTTAGGTCCTATTTAGCGAGTCTCCAGAGGCTTGTTTGCTGAAAGTCCACTTCTCAAACCAAGAGAATATATGTAAGGCACAGTAATTGTGACAGTGTGAAGGAGCCTACACTAGAGTGCTAATGCCTTGTAGTGAAAAGTGTGATACAATTAGGAAGATGGATGATCCCAGGCCCGGCTGAAGAGTAAACAGAAGAGCCATTGGTTGCCAGCCTTGCTGTGGTGTATAGTGGCACACCCATGGTGGGAAGCAGATAGCCTGATGGTCTGAGCCACTTGAGAGCCCAGCATCACAGCAGTGTAGTGGCTAGGAAGTCCATACTCCAGAATGCAGTGAGAATCTCCCTGCTGGGTTCTAGGATTTTCTTGGTAGTTGGCTATTGTCATTCTCCTTCTGGATTCCACCTCTGCTCAGCAACAAAGACCTCACAATTCCTGAACCTAAGACTTGTAAGTTATAGTCTGTCTAGTAATATGGATCCTTATTCCAGCCAAACAGTTCTGTATAGTTTTTTAAAACCATACAGTACTTTGGTCACTAATAGTCCCTTTTAAAAGCCATGAATCCAAAAAAAATCAAATGCAAAATAGTATGTGTGCCATTTTCTAGGAGGCTAGTAAATGGCCTGTGTCCAATTTGTAGCACAAAAGAGGCTTTTAGACCCCTCACCTGAATGTGCATGAGAATTTGAAGATGTTCCTTCAGGGCAGCCAGTGTAGAAGGAATCATTCCTAGATCTGTGTTTTCCCCAAGTTGGGTTTTGGAAGCTACCAAAACCATGGGATAAACTCTTCATTACTGTCTGTGGTCATTTAGAGAATGCAGGGACCAGCCTGGCTAAGGTAGGAAGACAAATGAGAGCTAAGAGAGGTGCATTGCTCCTGCCACCACCACTACTAACCATCCCAGAGAAGTTGATCAGGACAGGTTTGAACTGGGAATTAACTGGTGCACCCCATCCCCAAATTACTGGAAGATAGCACCCCTTTCTGCTTTTGAGTGCTGCCAACTTCCCCATACTATAAGCACACTTAAAATATTGAAAAATCTCACTGCTCATATAGCCTGCTTGTGTTAGTTTGTGGAAGTACAAGAAATGGTGTTTTTTCTAGTAACTAGACTGGCCTGTTGAATGAGCCCACTGGGAAGCCTGTTCTCAGTGTAGTCTGTAACTTGTATTGCTTTGTATTATTGCAACAGTATGAGCATTGTATCATTCATCCAAAAATAGTGTGCTTCCTAGCATACACTATGGTCCTAAAGCTGCCAGATTCAGGATGCAGGGAAGAGAGGTATGGTCTACCTACCTGTGTCTCCTCTTCCTGTACCACCACTGATGGCAGGTGGGAAAGAGATGACTATGCTCATGAACAGCCATCTGCAGTGAGGTCACTGTTCTCCCCTAGACACCTAATGGTAGACCTCCATAGGTCCCATCAACAAAAGACACAACTATTCAAACTTGACCTCACCTTTTGCCTCCACATATATACACCTAGATGCACACATCCATATGAACACCTACATGCAGGTATGTGCACACGTGCATGCACACACACTATTCAGAAATAGTTATGACCAGGATTGCATTTGTTCTTCTAGATCTCAAACTCCGACTTCTGTGCTAAACAGAATAACTCACCCAGATATGTCCAGGGCCCAAAACAGGATCCTGGGAACCTTGTGCATCACAGAGGCTGAAGATGTGATTCATGGTCAAGGACCTCATCAGGGTAAAGATCATCCTGTTCATGTGGGCTCCATCTGCTTACATAAGCCCTTGAGAGTGGAGAACTTTTCACTGCAGAAAGCCTGAGGAGCTCATTACTCCTGGGTTTGAAGGAGCTTGTGTAGTTTGGCTGTGAAATGTCACCTGAATGTGTTACTCTTCTATTACTGTAATAAAACACCAGGACCAAAGGCAACTTCAGAGTTTATTTTGGCTTACAGTTTCTGAGTCCATGTTGGCAGTGTGACATGGCAGCAAAGCAGGAAGGTGTGCAGCAGACAGTGACATTAGATAAGACTGTATAACCTCAATGCCTGCCCCCAGCGACATGCTTCTTACAAGGCTACACTGCCTAAACCTCCCCAAACATAATCACCAGCTGGGGACCAAGTGTTCAAATGTCTAAGACTACAGGAGACAGTTCTCATTCAAACAAACATTACCCATTTGTTTTTGAACACTTGGTCCTCAGCCTGCAGCACTGTCTTGGAAGGTTGTGGAACATCAGGGAAGTGGAGCCTTGCTGCCAGAAGTGGGTCACTGGAGGTGGGCCTTGTAATTTGTACCATTTCCCATTGACTCTGCTTCCTGATAGGAAAGTCATGTGACCAGTCACCTCTATTCCTGCAGTAATGCCTGCGAACATCATGGACAATTCCTTCAAATTCTAAACCTTGCCTCGCCTCCCTGAGTCGCTCTTGCCAGGTACAGACCAGCCATAGAAATAAGAAAAGTCAGACATGGACTGTGAGTCAAGGAATGCCTGCCAGCTTAAAGGCCGACAGAAGCTAGGGAGTGAGTTCTTTTCTAAAGGCCCTGGAGGATGGAGGATGTCAGCCTGGCAGTTCCCAGCTTCCCCAGGGGCTGTGAAGCCAAATGCCACATCTTAAGTGCCTGTCCTGGAAGATGGATGGGAAGGTGGGAACTCTTCCACTTTCCTTGTCAAAGAAAGGGGGAAATCCCTCCTTGGCAGCCTGGTCCTTTGCTGGGATCACCACCAAGGAGCCAAACCTTCAGTTCCTGCCACCACTTCCCTGGCAGTAATGAGATCCAAGAAGAGAGCAGGCATGGAGTTGAAAGCCACAGTCTGTCCAACTCTTCCCATGCTCCATTAACAATGGTGAGGCATAATCTCAGCTGAGCATTCAGGCCTCTCCTGGGGTCCTTATGTTTTGATAGTTAGCTCTGGGAAGGAGACTCTAGTTCGTGAGACAGGGCCTGTTACATGATGGGTACACACCAGGGTTGTTTATTATTTGTTTTGGGGGGCTTTGTTTTGCTTTTGTTTTCAAAGCAATTTTCAGCCTCATCATTCCTCAAGCTTCCTGTCACCCTGTCCTTTGAGAATCCTATCCATTTCCCCTCCAGGTCCCCCCTCTGACATCCTGGTAAATGTGCACCTTTTAGCCCATTTCCATGCCAGCCTTCCAAGCTAAGTACTCTGCTGGGGCTCCTCAAACACTCCATACTGGGTTGACTGTGTCAGTCACTGCTTGGTCTAGCTGTATCCTGTTTTCTACTGTAATGATTTCAGAGTTGGGGCTCTCATCTGGGAACCCTCGGGGTGCATCACAACTCCTGGCTCTGAGGAAGCCCTTGGCACGCAGCTACCAGGTGATCCATGAGCTAGAGTGGACCTGGCAAGTTTTGACACTGAATACAGGACACTCCCTAGATGTCCCCTAGATAGCGTCTCGTACGACTGCTACTCTATCTTTTTGAAGCCACATTTCTTCATCTGTTAGTATCTTGTAAAATTCAGAGACATAATGAATCAGAGCCCCACTGCCCTGCTGACCTAAATATACAGTGGCCTCATTAACCTAGTCCTTAAAGAGCTTAATGTGTCACAATTCTGTTGCAAGCTGGATAAAATATCCCCCTGCCCAAAGACCTACTTGTTAAAGTCTTGTTCCCCATGCCAATATTGGGAGGCTACAATAATCTTCTTTATCAACCTGAGAGTATTTTTTTAATATTTCATTCAGTTATTCTGAATCTTAACATTCATCTGTAAAACCAGAGGATTTCAGCATAGCAGATAAAATACAGCAAGTCCTAACCAGCACAGGACAAAAGGACCCATACCATGGACACAGATGGCTTCATCAATTACATTTATTGTTTTTCTAAATGTTTACATCTCTTTACTGTGATATCTTCAGATGAGATTTAAAGGCTTTTAGGAGGCATCCAGTGCTACGTGTAAGAGTTAGTACATAGTGCTTCCATGTCTTGGAACCGAATGGGTTTGAACCATTTAGATGACACACCTCTGCACGTATCTATGAGACCAGGAGTTTCCAGAGGGTTCTGAGGAAAGGAAACTCGCCCTTATTGTGGGTGGTACCACCCCAAGGGTTGGGGTCCCAGAATAAATAAAAAGGGACAGAGGGAGAAAGCTGAGTCCTACACTGTGCTCTCTCTCTGCTTCCTGGTCCTCCATACTATGGGTCCTGCCATGAAGGACACCCTGCTTGAACCAGGAGCCAAAAGAAACCCTCATCCCTCAGTTGCTTCTTGTTGGATGTTTGATTATACCGCCCAGAAGAGTAACTAAAACCAAAGCTCCAGAGATTTCCACCTTTAAGGGGTGGGTCCTTGAGAGAGTACCCAGATCCTGAGTGGGAAGGGTGTGCCCTGGACAAGACTGCACATCCCCCTCTCTCCTCCTTTAGCCAGAAGGGAGCAGCTTGACTTGACCACATGCCCCTGCCACTGTCTTACTGCCTCTCCATAGTTTCAACACAATAGGATCGTGACTGAAACCTGAAATGGTGAATCCGATTAACCCTTTTTTTAATGTATTAAGTTGATTACTTCAGTTGTTTTGTCACAGTAACAATGCTAGCACAGTCCCAGAACTGTATTTGATTACAGAGAGCCTCCAAGAGAAGAGTCACATATTCCATTTGTTTCTCAGGAGATGGTAAAGTATTTTCTCTCTTAAAACTAATTCCCATCCAGACAAGGATAAGAGTTCCAACATATTCCGATTTTAAAAGAGATGAACTGCAGATGCCTGGAAAATCTGCTTCTATGGAATTTATTTTGTCTCTTTATACTACAGATTGTTTTATTTTATTTTATATTTTTTTGCATGAAGGGGGGGTTTATATTTATTGAAAATCAAAGAAAAAGTCCAAGAATTACCAAAGAGCAGCCAAAGTGATTTATGCATGATCGTTGAGGGCAACACATTTGTGTATACATAATTTTAAACTCAGGGGAAAAAAAGCATGCTTACACAACTGTGTGCAAGTTTAAATTTTAATAACTCTGGATAAATACAGAATGGAAATAGTTCCTGGCACCTGAAACTATCGTCTGAGTCCTGACATCCCGCCCAGCCTTCTGTCTGGACGTCACAGCTATACTTTACACAGCCTGGCTTGGTTTTGATTTCTCTTGCGATTGAGAAAGGCCTTCCATTGTTGCTAAGCAACTTTGCAAATTTCATTCACAATTCTGACCCAAGTATATTTCCTGCAAATCAGTTTACACAAACTGTACTCCAAACACTGGCTTTCCGAGTTATTGAAGCAGATGGTGGAGGACAATGTCCACCACACAGCTATTAACTTTAGAGGGACATGCAAACTAGCCTGACCTCAGTTCCAGGCATGCCTCGGAGGAGCAAAAAATCAAAAGTAAAGGATTTTACTCGCCTCCATTTGAAGGACTGTTGGTGGCACCGAGGCTGGTGTGGGGTTGATCGAGAACAAGAGGCTTGGAGAGAAAGCTCTCGGTCCCACCCCTGCCCCAGGCTGTGGAGCGTGGCTATGAAGGGCTATGCTGACAGTGAGGTAGGAGCTGGGGGATGACTGTGTGGGAGGCTGGCCACAAGAGCGGCGTAGCTCCCGTGTAGCCCGTGCCTCAGCCCATGGAGGGGACACAAGACAAAAGCAATGGCTACATTTTGCCAGGTCCATGTTTGCAAGGCAGGCACCCTCCTCCCTGTATCCCCCAAACCCATCACTGGAAGACTTCATCCTTTCCCATCCTCTCCCTTCAAACAAATCTTCAATCCATGAAGAGCAAGACAGCATGTCTATCAACAATGTGGGGCACTGCCCTTAGCCACCATGCCTGTCTTTCCCAAACCAGAGAAGTGGGACAGCTGAAAGAACTGTACTGCACCGTACCTTGTCAAGTCAGAAGAAAAGCTACTGGGAAGGAGCTGTGGCCATTCCACACCTGGGGTCACTCTGGGAAAATAAATTAGCCATTTCTATTGCACATCTACCAGCGACTCAGCTGGGTCTGGGTCTAAATCTCTTCCTCTCCACCGAGTAGCTCCACAGGGGTGGGTTCTTCAAACGCCATCTCCTGGGCCAGGCTCTGCTCCAGGTCTTCCAGCTCCTGGCGTACTTCCCCTATGAAGCCAATGTCTTCGTACTCATCCAAAACCTCTCTGGGCAGCTGGCTCTCCTCACTGTGGTCATGGCTGCCCACGAAGGCGGGCTTGCACATGTACACCAGACTGTGGATGGGGAAGAGGGTGGAAGTTTAGTCAAGGTTCTCTCCGTTATCCTGGAGAGCAGGCTTGGAGCATGTCCGCTGCATGTGAAGCCGTGGGGCAAACTCTCTGTGGGCCTTCGGGCCTCACTAACTCTCTACTTTTTGTTAGGGAGCTTCCTGTCAAGTTCTTACTGAAGAGTCAGCTGGGACAAGTCCTTAAGGGACAATCCTAGGCCTGCTTTTCTGTCTGACTAACTATTGGTTTGTCTGCCTAGGAACAGACCCTGATGATGGGGATTTGGAGGTTCACTGTCACACAGAGTTCCCTAAGCCCTCTGCCCATCTGCATCCCAAGCAGGAGGCACACTGTAACCCCACAGCTGCTGTATGCGTGGTAACAACCCTGTGCCTCTGTGGAAAGGAGAGGGAATTCTGCCTGGCTTCCCTATGACCCTGGATTCCAGTAGGACGGAAGGCTGAGTAGAGGTTGTGGCAGGGCAGAAAGATGTAAAGAGCAGCTCCTCCAGCCTGAAGCCTCTAACACTACAGGTGCCTTCCATATTGGTGGTCCTCCCCTCCTGCCTATCAGTGTCCTCCCCGACTACGATGGGATGGTCTGGACTCATTTTTTCCCACACCCTTCCACTAGAGCACCGACTTGGGAAGCTCCAATCACCATCTAACAGAGCCCCAACCTACAGATCTGATGCTGACTGGACCCCTTTATACTAGTGATGCAGAGATACCTCCAGCCACTCCTGCCCTACACTGAATCAATATCTCCGCCTAGCCAAACCTACTCCTGAGTCCCCCTGGATGATATTTTGGCTGCTCTCAGCTCCCAGTACAGTCAACAAAAGGGACCTCACCTGTGTGGCTGGCAATGGAGACCCCTGGCACAGGGGCATCGGTCCAAAGCGCCTTCAGGCTCCAGTTCCCAGGTGATGAGGTCCATCAGCTGACTGGTGGGGTCATGGCAGAGCTCCCCCTCCACGGGCAGGGGTGTGCACACAGGGAACAGCAGGCCTGGAGCCAGCCAAGAGTCACCATGAGGACAGGCAGGGAACCGGACACAGCCTCGCTCTCCTCCCTCAGCCCCAGGTGAGGTTAGAATTGAAGATGTGGAAAGGACAAGAACAGCAGTGCCAGTTCAGGATGGATCAACCCCTGAGGACTGGAACAGTTACAGGGGTCTTCCTGAAGAGGCCAATTCCCTGCAGAAATGAGGCATGGAACCAAGGCCCTTTAAGCAGGGGCAGAGAGCCAATAAAGGCCCTGGTCAGTGTAGTGGGAAGAGCTGGGCCAAGGAGTAAAGACAAAGAGGACAGAGGATCTGGGTGGACAATGCCTTGCAAACGGGAGATTCCAGGGGTCAGGCAGGGGCTGGGAGGGGCCTAGGGGAGCCACCTCTAGAATGTTGTCCTCCAAGCAAATCACTGAAGTGGCAGGTACCTGGAGGGACAGTGGGGCTGAGAAAGCAGAGCTGGGAGGCAGGTGAGAGCTTTCCGACACACAAAGGAGAGGGCCTGCACTAGCCCAGGGCGAGAGGCACTGAGAACAGAAACTGGGAACTGAAAAGAAAATCCACACAAAGAACTCGGGCCAATGGTGCCTTTAGGGATAGGGGAGAGGCTCCTGGAATCTCACCCATCTAGGAGTGCCCCTCCTGCCCTGGACTCAGGCATCCTGAAAGAACTTAGCTGGAATAGTCTACAGCTGGGAAAAATCAAATCTGGTGTTTGTCTTATCGCCCTACCCCATTAGGAGGCTGTGGGGCTGGTGAAGTCATTGAAGACCCTGCTGCATGGGGGAGGGGGACAGGGATGCTGATAGCACTCTGAGGCCCAGCAAACCCTTTGACTGTGAGACTGGGAACAGATTTCCCCAACAGCCACGGGAGAACACACATACCTCTTTGGAAGGCACAGCACAGGCCAGGCTGGCAATCCCTCTGGTTTTCACAGATGGTTCCATTGCTACCTTTGGTGGCCTTTTGGGAGCAGTGACCCCAGGCACATAGCTGGTCTCCACAGCACTCACTGTCTCGGGTACATAGCTGCAGAGAATCGAGACAAACACAAGCCCCGAGGCTTAGCCTTGAAGCCTGGACAGCCTGGTAAGTTACCCCTTCCCCCCCTCAAGGAGAAGAGGCAGACCCAAGGTGGGCGGAGCATTAGTGGAAATCTAAGGAGTCAGCACAGAAGTGAGGCTGTTGGTACGAGATGGGTCAAACCCCCAGAAAATGGCACCTGAGAAGGTGGATGCCCAATCTCTTCCACCCAGGTCAGGACTTGACAAACAGCACCTGTGTCTCTTTGGTGCCTCCAACTCAACTGTATCTTTCACACTTTTAACTAGCCTCAGTCAGAAGGGACAGTGCCTCAGACCATGGGTGGAGGCAGCAGGAGTCTAACAGGCTGCTCAGTCAAGACAGGGCCAGGAAAGCCCAGGCTGGAGACGGCATGCTGGGAGCAGGAACCCAGAGCCCCACATGGAATAGCAATTACAGAGCAACAAGGGGTCTGTCTCCAGGACTGTGCCCTGTGATGTGGGAGTGGCCTGGATGACAACAGCGGCTGTCTCTCCCAGACAGACTGAGCAAGATCACGGGACCCTTTATTTCCTGAACTTATTGTGTCTTTTTACTGTCAAAGAGAATGTCAAGAGTTCATGAGCCCATGGCTTTGTCCAAAAGGCCCGCTGAGTGGTGTGTAGGGTTTCCGTTGCTTGAGCACTACAGTGGGAGAATGTTCCAGCCTCTTACTGCCTCCTCCTCCTCCTGTACATTTATTGATGAGACTAGAAGCTCGGGGATAGCAGCCCAGGAGGATAGAGGTGGCCCTTTCCCTTGCCTGGGACTGCATGTGTGCACTGCTGTGTGTGCTGCTGTCCCAGAGGAAGGGACCAGTGCAGGACCTCCTGTTTTCTCCTCTGTCCCATTCTTTGCTACCCACGAGCCACACAGTTGTGACCAGAGATCATGGGGTGAGGTGGCTGCAGACCTGCTGAAATGACATCATGATTACTCCAGGAATCAGTCCCTCTGGGACTTCTTCCCATCACTGAAAGGCTCTTCTGGCCTAGCCGAGAACCCTTGGGACTTCTAATCTTCTCCCCCTGGCACAACAGTGGAGTCTACTGGTATCTTTACCATCTGCTGGTCCCGGCATGGCTGACAGGTGTACTTGAAGCTGGAGAACTGGCAGTACCTGGTGGGTCCACAGTCCTCATCAATGATACATTCCTGGGGGGATGGAGAGGAGGGGCAACATTGTCAGTAAAACAAAGAGGGTCAGGTAGATCTGCATTGCCCTAGAAGGGCAGAATCCAGGTTACTCCCCGTCTTGAGTGAGGCACCAGCCCAGAAGTGTCCACCAGCTCTAGCTACCCCAGAAGTCAGCCCGCTGGTGCTTTTCACCTATTCCTTCCCTGCAGTCCACATGGGGATCTACTTCTCAGTACCCCCAGGAGCTCTGAGCCTCCCACATCCACCACACAATCGCCATCTGTGTTCAGTGTTCCCCCCCACACACACACACACCCAGGGCAGGGAGGGTGGGGACTCAAAGTTGTTCATACATAGAACAGATGGTTTTAATAAAAGGTGCTAATGAGTCCCAGGCCCTGTGTGACTGCACAGGAAGGGCTGGAGGCCAGGCCCAGCAGTCCCTGCTGCCTAGGAAGATACCAGAAACCACCTCCCTTGGCATTGGCCCTGGAAGCCACAGACCTGCCTGAAGAGGGCCCTCCACAGGCTCCTGGGTTCTAAGGAGCAGCCAAGAGGCAAGGTGAGCTTTAAAGTGAAAGCCGGATGGTTGAAATCCCACCCTCCCAGCCCCGACTCCTCATGGCCACCAGCTCCATTCAGCTAAAACATCTGTCCATCTGTGAGTCAGACTCATGGTCAAGCTCAGCTCTAGGAAAAGGGGGCAGGAGATGAAAACCAGGCTAGGACATCATCCATCACCCCTTCTCTGGGACAGAACCTTCTCAGCAAGAGGGAGCTTTGGGGTCACTTCTACATTGTTAACTGGGAAATAGTGGTGGCACAGGAAAGTCATGGCATCTCGCAAGAGATATGGCTAAAGTAGTGTAGAGGGGTTATTTTTCCACCACAGCCCTTGAGTGGAAGGGCTCAGGGCTCCCAAATACTATAATCCGAGATGAGAAGGACTCTTGGAGGCCTGGTGTCCTGGGACCCTGGCAAACATTCTAGAAGGGTCTCTGTGAAGGACAGGACCTGCCTCATCCCCATCTAAGGGCATCTTCCATCCTGAGAACCAGTGTGGAGCCATACATGCTAAAGCACAGTATGACAAGCATGGGCCTCTGTGCCTGGGGCTGGTCCTCAGCTCCTCTCTGTGAGTTAAGGCAACTATACCAGTATATACAGAGCGTGTCTGGGGGATGGGGGGGGATTTATGCCCAGAGCATGCACAAGCTGGGTCCCAGCAAACAGGCTCTGGCTCTCTTACTGTTATAGAGTGCTATTACTGAGAAGTAGCTGGTGTCCTTGACCCAGGTCACACTGAGTATCCCTTAGTCAATCTTGTAGGTCTGAGGAGATGAGTGTTTGGTCCGGAGTACCTGCAGCCCTAAGCTGAGGGCCCACCAGGGGGAGCTTGGACCACACATATCCTACTACATAATCGTCTTTGGGTTTAGTACCCCGTGCATCAGGAATACTGTGGCCATCATGGTTATGTTGTCTGTAATGACAAACAGAGAAGTGTATGTTCGATATAGATGCTATTGAAAACAGGTTGGCTGTGGGTCTGGATCCTGGGGTACTGAGGCTGCCTTTCCTGGCTCCCCATCACACCCTCCCATACACAGGCAGCTTGGGAGGTGCAACAGGACACTCTTGATATTTCTTCCAAAACCCAACAGAAAGGGAACAGAGTGGGAGAGGTGACATTTGGGAAGGAGGAAGAAGCAGCAGGTGCAGGGGCAGAGATGACGGGGGGTGGGGGGAGGTGGTGTCTCTCTCTGCCTTTAAGAAATCTGCATTCAACCATAGGGGGGAACAAAGAGAAAGAAGAAAGTCTGATTCAGAGATTCCCTCTGCAGCAAAGGCAGGTCCCACATGAGGAGGAGGCCATGTCCTCTAACCTGGGTAGAACAGAGAAGCAAGGGCTGACACGGCTGAGAAATGCAGCCTTTTGTTCTTCCCTGAGTTCCAGCATCTTTCCTGTGCTCATACGTTGTATCTACATCTGAGCCCACCCTACAGCATCCCAGGAACCCAACTGTGCCCAGGCCACCAGAGTGGCTGAGACCTGAGGTAAGAGGTGGGGATGCTGGGAGACTCTGCTTCTTCCTGGCTACGGCCATGAAGCCTAGTGCTTTGATTTCTGAGGGCTGAGGACCTCACTGCCTTCCTATCTTAGAGTCTAGAAGTGAATGCAGACTGCTGCTCCAACACAGCCAGAACTGAAGAACAAGGTCGGAGTCGGGAGCCCTGGCTGAATCAAGCTGCCCAGCAAAGGCATGAGATGCTAAGCTAAACACCTGGCCCACAGAGGGCTCCAGAGCTAGCTGTCTCATCTCTGCACAGGGCTCTACCACAGCAAGGTGAGTGCCCACAGAACAGCACGGGCTCCCTCCAATCCCCTCAACATAAGATTCCTGTGAGCAGAAGTTCTCAGACAAAACAAAAAACAAAACCAAAAAAACAAAACCAAAAAGCAAACAAAACAAAAAGCAAAAACAAAAAACCAACCAAACAAACAAACAGCCACATACCCATGAAGAAAGCTGTACAGGATAGATAGATTCTCTGACTAGACTTTAAAGGGTTGTGGGGAGTCAGGATGTTGCAGGTCTTAAATAACTGTGGGGAGTCAAATGTTGCAGGTACAGAACCAAACTGTCCTGGGCTATTTTTCACCTCATAGCTATCTGTTCATTCTCACTTCTATATTTGATCCATTTCTGTGACTGTTTGCTAAATCTTTTTGTAGTGTACAAACTGACCCTTAGCCTCTATTAACCCACACTGTCATCAGATATCAGCCAAGGCCTATAGCAGCTATTTCCCCAATCTGCAGCAGCTCACCTATCTGCTGTACCTTCCAATGTATTCTTAAATACATTGCCTTGGTTTATGACTGGTTTTATTTTCCTGCTACTAGAAAAAAAATGACCTTCATGAAACAATTACCATATTAGAACAAGGAATTTATAGTGTCTTAGGTAGGGTTTTACTGCTGGGAACAGACACCATGACCAAGGCAACTCTCATAAGGACAATATTTAACTAGGGCTGGCTTACAGGGTCAGAGGTTCCGTCTATTATCATCAAGGCAGGAGCATGGCAGCACTCAGATAGGCATGGTACAGGAGGAGCTGAGAGTTCTGCATCTTGTTCCAAAGGCAAACAAGAGAAGACTGATTTCCATGTGGCTAGGAGGAGGGTCTCATTGCCCACCCCCACAGTGACACACTTCCTCCAACAAGGCTACACCTACTTCAACAATGCCACACCTCCTAGTAGTGCCACTCCATGGGCCTAGCATATTCAAACAATCACATATAGTTCCTGGGACCGTGTGCACTCATATTTGGCTCCCACCAGAAAACTTTACTCTCTCTGAGGTGATAGCAGCTGTTGTTGTTTCGTTGGTTGTTGTTTGTTTGTTTTCCTTTTTGGGATCAACATCACCACCTCAGTTTTAATCACTTGAAGGATTTGCCCAGGGTCTGGCCACAGGCATCTCATCTCTGTACATCTCAGCCTGGCCCCACCCTTCAGTACCAGCCCATCTCTTCTACCTGGGCCACAGCTGGACTGATGACACCTGCCTTTACCAGGGCTGAGACACAAAATCAAAGCAAAGGCAGCATAGGGCTTCCAGGCTTCAGTGCAACTGTAGCCACGTCCTGTCTGTCTGTATGTCCTGTTCCTCCCTCAGCCTGATAGCCCAGAAGCTGGCCATGGACTGCAGCCATTCTATGGAGGCCTTCTTTGTTGTCTGGAGCTATATTTAGAAAACCAGGCCAGAGGCCTAAAAGTGGAACTAAAAACTGTAGACTGGGCCAAGACTGCCTGGAAACTGCCTGGTGCCTTGATGTGACCCTGAAAGAGTGGGGAAAGACACAGGACAGGCATCACTTGGCATCTCTGTTAAGCTCACGGTTTGTCAGCAAAGAGATTCTGAGACACAGTGGTCAAAAGCCTGGGGCAGGAAGGACAACAGTGGGGTCTCCTCACAGCTTCCCAGGCACCCCTGTGGGGCTAGTGGCAGGCTCTCACAGTTCGGGCTTCATTTTACAGAGAAAAGTGAGCCTCAGTTCATGGTGGGAAGGAAAGCAAAGTTTAAACACAAGTCCCTCAGCCCCTTAGGGGGACACTCTGCCTGCTGTTCTTACTAGTCTCAAAATGCTCCATTTGGGTTGGCAAGCTGGTTCAGCCCATACACATGCTTGCCACACAAGACTGACGACTTCAAGTTCTATTCTCAGGATCTATGGGAAGGTGGAGACAGAGAACCACTCTGAAAAGTTGTCCTCTGACGTCCACACTGTGCTGTGACCAGTGCACTCTGCCCCGACAACCATAACCAATAAATAAAATGTTAATGCACCATCACAGACTTGCTCTCCCTGCCCCAAATTCCTGTCGACTTCCTAGCCACCGAATACTTCAGAGCTGCCTTACTCCGGAGATAAATAAGGTCATAGCAGGCTCAGTTAACTCCAATACAATTGTGAACTGGACTCCCTAGGAAAGGCCTCGCCTGTGTTAAAGATGCTCCAAGGTTGACTAATTAGAACTTCCAGATGTGGGATGTTGGAATGCTGTGTGCCTAACTCTACATTATCTCAGACTGCCTTTAGCATCCACCCACGGCCCACTTCTGTGTCTAAGCTAACATCTTTGTGATTACTGGATAAATCCTTCCTATGTATACTAACAGACCATGGCCTCCCACCTCTGCCTTCATCCCCAGAGCCCACACCTCAGGATAAGAGCACCATTGAAGTCTCACGAAGACTCCTGCAACCTGATTCACCTCAGCTTGGGCTAGTGGGGCCTATTCTAATAAATGAGTATTTTTTTCTACTGAGTGACTCCCAGCCTAGGGTTTACACCAGAGCTCTGCCTATCACTCAACACAACCTCCTAGAGCCCTCTGTTAGCAGACAAGGACTCCAGAGAGGACAATAAGGGTACACAAATGCAGAAGGGACCCAAGACTGTTCAGTTCACCAAAGACAACATGCAGGCAACAGAGGGCAGAA